AAACTCAGGTAGGAATGAAGAAGGAAGTCCAAACCTCAATAAGCCAACTTGAAACAAGGGAAAGCCTCACTTCTAGAATGAATGAAATGGAAAACAGAATATCAGCACTGGAGGATAAAGTTGAAGAATTGGACCACTCAAGCAAAGATAAATAATAGTTAAAAAAAAAAAAAAGAACAGGAGGGTAAAATACCATGCTGCAAAGAATGACAAAAAGCTTATTTTAAAATCTGCAAATTATGTCTTTGTCAACAACTCTGTACAGGAGGGTATGGAAGATTAACCCTGTGTTTATACATACCCAAACCCATTTGCTAAAAACATGGTTTTGAATGGCAAAAATGGCCTCTGTGAGAACCCTAGAAGCTAATTGCTCAATGCTAAAACTTCCAAGTAGGACTCTAGTCACGTATTGTCTTTGCTGGATTAATAGCCAACAGAGAAAAAGGCACGGTCAGCAATGCCAGCATGCTGTACATAGCGACATGGCAGAGAGCCGGGGGCAAGGCAAACATTGATATAAAACACGACTGTTCACAGGTTTGCCCTCAGAGAGGATTTCTTTAAAAGCTCTGCATTCTAAGTCCCTTTTTGGTTGGGAAATATAGTTTTTAGCACATAGCAAGATCACTTGACTGCAATCATTATTTTAGATCATAGAATTGAGAAAATTTAACTTTTTTTAAACAATGAATTTCTCTTAATGCAACATTAAGTGGTACGCAACAAACAAGAGGCAATTTCTCCTCAAGTTTGACCCTTGTTTTATCTTAAAGCAAAATGATTTTACTTCAAAATCAGACAATACAGATTGGTTTCTGGAGACCCCATGTCTCCCAGGACTTACTGCTATACTTCACTGAATACCACCGGTTCAGACAGAACCAGCCCTTGCTGAACGAGAGCTGGAGGGGCAGGGACTGTACCCTCAGCAGGATCTCTAATTCTCTCTATGGAGAAAGTACCTTCACACAAAAAACAAAAGGGACTGAGTTACTCAGGGCCCCTGATGATCAACTCCCAAGGCACAAAATTGTCCATTTCAACACAAAGCCACCAAGATCCCATATTTCTAATAGGAAAGATGCTAAGATAGAAGGGCCAATCTGCTAGTTTTCCACTTGGGAGAGTAATGCCAAGCATATCAGAGTACATACACTCACAAATTCTTTAACAAGAGTACAAGTTGTGGCTACTACCCAGCACTAAGCTGATATAAAACAGGGTGTTAGACCTGGGTACATCCCCTGACTGGTGTTTCATCATGTTCAGACTCTAAACCAGGTTCTTTTATTTCTAAGGACAGGACATTGCATGACTTGTGTCTTAAGGGTCCTCTTAATGATACATTCTATTAACCTCAAGCTAATCCAAAATTTGTGGTGTTTCAACTGAATTCTGTAGACAGATGAGTTCATGCACACATTCTTTTTGGCCAAGGCAGCAAACAGGAGTATAGCTGACCACATGAGTTCTAATCCTACTTCTGAGAGTGCTTTAAGGACTTATATATAACTTGATAACTTTCATATTTATAGCTCAATACTTGGCTCAGGGTATTTGATGTAAACATTCTAGTTAGGAAAACAAAATGGTTGGTAAGATGCTTAGCGGGTAGAGGTGCTTGATACACAGGCCTGGTGACCTGTGTTTGATCTCTGGAACTCACATAAAGGTGGAAGGAAAGAAATGGTTCCACAAAGTTGTCCTCTGATCTCCACACATGCACTGTGGCCTGTGCCCACCCACATTTGAACACATATACTCACAAAAATAAATAAAATGCTTTAGGCCAGACTTGTTTCGAAAATCCCATTTCTGAAGCTAAATCACAGTTATATCTCATATATATCAATAAAAATATATGCATAGTATGTGTCAATTATATATACATACATATATACCAGTCTGTATATAAAATGTTAGATTACATCAGTTGTTTTATTCTTTTGACATATCTCTGAACTTTCTTGTTTCTTTGGGGGGAGGGGGTTATTTCATGTGTGAGATTGTTGTTTATAGTACTAAAAGTGCTGTTTACAATAATAAGACTGGAACCTGGGGCCTCACACATGCCAGGTCAATGCTCAACCACTGAAATCCCCAGGCTTTACACTTGGCCCTTTCAACTTACTTTCCAAAGACTTTTCTTGAGAAGGCACCACTATTTAAATACAGTCTAATTTCATCCACTAAATAGATATGCTTTTACCTATATACTGGCAGTTAGATTTTTGTTCCCCTGGAGACAGCATAGGGTTGTTGTTGAACTCTTTGCTGTGTTTAAAAACCACCACCAGGTTTGTTTACACACCTGATGGCATCTTACAGAGGTGCCCACTTTTCTGTATTCCCCAAACAAAGCATAATAAGGTCTTTGGGCTGAGGCTATCATCCATGACTTTCATTAATATTAACTGCAAAAAAACAGACACATACCCAAATAAGTTTTCTGTCCTAGCAACAAATAAATTTTGTTAGAATTGTGACCTCTAACAGTAGGACAAAAGTAGTCTTCTCTGGGCATGCATACTGTTGCAAGTGAAAATGAAAAGGATGGTTTGAAAAATGCAATACAAAAATTCAGGTTTAAGAAATGGAAGCAACTCAAAATCAAAGACTTACCAATCTATTCTCATCAAATACTTCAAATAGGAGCCTGTGATTAGATGGATTTACCTAGAAAGGATAGAAACAATATTTCAAAAACCATCAGGTATCACTGGAAGCATGAAATAAGGGACAGAAAGAATGTGAGAGTGCTTTAGCGTACACCCAGTCCACTGCATACTATGAATGACTGACCTGATTATTAGGAAACTCTATGTCTACTAAATAAAATTCCCCACTATTGATTTTGCTATTTTTCTACCCCTAATATCTAGGCACACCAGAAAAAGATAACACCTTTAACAATGTTTCTAGAAAAGGGGGATCTAAACAGCCTTACAGAGTTCCTAACCTTTTCTACAAAGGCACCTTCATATCCATATCTATAGAGTAAGGTCTGGTCTTTACCAGGGCCCTGAGTGAGGAAACCTTTTAGGCCTGATAATGACAGTGTGATGAAGAATTGCAAGAGCAGCTATTTACCACTGTGGGCTTATTTTCTAAGTAGTATTTCTGAAATATTAGCACTATAATAATTAATGCCATTTAATTCTCATTACAACCCAACAGTGTGTAACTATCACTTTAATTTCACACACCAATAGCCCGAGGGTGAAATATCTTGTTCAGGAGCCCACAAGCCAGTGTGTTGAGCAACCAGGACTTGCCCGGGGTTAGGCCAACGCCACAGCCTTCAGGCTGTTGGTGTTTGTTTGCTTCTTCTTCTTTACCCAAACTCACCCAAATGGCCTGTGCCTCATCATGTAGACTCAGGTGTCATTGGATAGCTATCAGCCCTGCCAGACATGGCTCCAGGTGTTTGCATTTATTTCACTGTATGCCAATCAGGAAAACAAGCCTACCAAGGAAGGACTTCTCTTTCCTACATTAGAGAGAAAGAACCTGAGTGATTGAGAGTGCTTAGTGGCTTCTTCAGGGTCACAAAGGCTGTAAATGATGATAATGCCAGAGATGTGACCCAGGTCTACTGCTAGCCCTGGGCTGCTTCCTGATGGGGCATGGAAGAAGATTACACTTGACTAGGACTTGAGTAGGACTCTCAGAGAGCTAGTGTGCTCAACTTAAGCTCCTGGCCCTTAGTCTGCAGATAGCTCAGCAATAGAGCAAGCACACAAATGGCTCTGCTCATCAGCTCTGCAAAGGGCTGCACAGCCACCCACCAGGAATGCATCCTTAGACTGTAGTAGGAACTAGCACATAACAGGTATCCAATAAAGGTTTTTAGTGGGGATAAAACAAAGATCCTTTTTTATAAGCAAAACAAAAATACAAAAATAGAAATTAAATATGCCTATAGCTAAGATTCATTGAAAAAAGTTTTAGATATTCTAAAATTCACAAACGTGGTTCAAATGGAAAAAGTATAAATAGGCTGCAGTTTCATAAGATGAAAGCTGTATTTGAGAGTTAACTAAGGGTCAGTAACACCTCTCAGCCCCAAACAGTTTTTCAGTCCTTCACGGAGTGATTTAAAACATATCTGGTAGAGGCTGAACACAGTATCTACCCAGTATTAAAATATCAGTGCCATATTTCAGCTCTGAACATAATAGAAAACAGATGCAGGGTACAGTCATCCAAGTTTGCAGCACAGAAACTCCTATTACAACTGAAAGGAAGAAGTCAGGGCTGCGTGCACGGGTCTGATGGCGGTATGCTTCTTGGCGCTCTGCTCACTGGAAGAACAAATCTGGAGCATTTTTGGAGGTGAGCAGTTTTTAGTATCAGTTGTACAGACAATTAAAATATTGTCATTTTAAAAAGACCTACCCCCTCTCTTTCAGTTAAAATGGTTGAAGTCCTTAATATTTCCAAGTTTTCGCTAGCAAAACGCAGTAACCAGCTCACAAGTACACTAAGCAGAAATCTCCATTAATTCACAGAATTCCCTTTTATATACAGCTGCTCTGAATAGATACTAAAAGTGGAGGAAATGTTCCCTTAGTCAGTGATGTTTAAAGTAATTGTATACTATACTAGATATTTGAATTATAAGCTTTTTCCTCTCAAACCAGAACATAATTGGTAATTTTTCTGTCTTTTGTGGGAAGGCTTGCTGGAGATCAGACCCAGGGTCTCAAGAGTGCCAGGCAAGCATTCTATACTGCTGAGCTACACCCCAACCCCATAACTGGTAATGTTTAATACTTCTTTTGAATCATTTCTACTGCTGTGGATAAGCCAGTCTGTAAAGTATTTCATGATCCAAGTCATACAGAAATCATTAAACTATTGCTTTAAATTGCATTTTATCTTCTTCTTCTTCTTCTTCTTCTTCCTTTTTTTTTTTTGTGGTCTTTTTGAGACAGGGTCTCCCTGTAGCCCCAGCTGTCCTGCCTAGAACTCACTATGTAGACCAGGCTGACCTTGAACTCACAGAGATCCGCTTGCCTCTGCCTCCCAAGTGCTAGAATTAAAGGCATGCGCCACCATGCCCAGCTTTATATCTTAATTTTTTTTTAAGGAAAGTTTGAGTTGAAAAAAAATAACATATTTGGATAATTTTCCATTTTATTTGTCCAAAACAGCTCCAAATGAAACAGTTGCAGGTTTTCTGACTACTACTTAGCTTTCAAAATTTGGAACACATTCAGAGGCTACCTAAACATTTCAAGTCTTAAGAATTTCTCATTGAAAATAGCATAGTTTTCTTTCCATTTATAGATCTACTTTGATATCAATCTAGATATCAGTGACAATTATTAACAAAAAAATAAAAAACTTACTCTAAAATAAAATTCTTCATTCCACTTTGGGTTCAGCGTCTGGAAAAGAAATTATCTTGTAATATCTTTTGTAGTCTTAGAAACCAACAGTTACTAATATAATGCAACTCTTCATATTCACTTAAACATTCTTCTTCATAAAAAAATATTTTCAAAATGGCAATAAAAGCAGCACTTAGTCAACTATCTGAGACTATTCTGCAAACCAAACTGGATAGAGAGGGAGTATAATTTATGAAACCAATGATTCAAGGCTGTGATAAATTGAATTCTATCACCAAAAGGAAAACTGGCATGTACTTACAAAGAACCATCATCATGAGAGCATAAACACTCCCATCAGGAAACTACATTGAAATGATTTATCCCATCAAGAAGGAAGTGAACTTGGCTGATTCCCCTCTACCTGCTACAAGCATATTTTGAAGTGGGGAAGGCCAAAAGTGCTCATTATTTATACTGATGCTGACATTTGAAGAAATATTTTATGAAGAACAATATCAATCAGATTCTCACCCCCCCACACAATAACCAAAAGGGAACTTTTTTCCGTTTTCTTAAAATAACTAGCTTTTTAAAAAAAGAGCCTATTTATCTTTCAGTCTTCCTCCCTATACATGTATCATTGATCTTTCTAGCAAATCTATTTAAATAGACACCTTGCATGAACATGGCAGGGATATTTGTATCCTCAGTGTGAAGAAAACATCCTTCCAAACTAACATGAAGCACAGTCTATGAAGGAACACAAATATATACACATATTTATACAAGCATAAAACTCAGAGACACAACTTGTAAAAAAAAAATCAGAGACTGAAAAATCAGTTCATCTACATATTTGCCTTTTAACGGGGAAGAAAAAAAATCAGCACAGTTCACCATAAAAATATATAAAAAAAAAAAACTTGTAGGACACTTTACTGACATTCTTTAAATGAGAATTAATAAATCAGCACTTTTCCCACCCCCAACTCCAAAGATAATTCCACCCTGCATAATGGAGATCACATTTCAGGTATGAGGTATGAATGGAGCTGGAATAGTAACAATTTAGGGTGAAGGGAAGTACCCCTGGTCTTGACCTGGAGGATATCTGCATGGAATGAAGGGGAGGGCTGGCAGGTAACAAACGACAAAAGGAAAGCACAAAATGAATGGTGCACAGACTGATCTCAGGGCCACAAGAAGCTGACAGCTTTTCTATGAGCACAACACAGACAATACTAACCAGGAGGCTGGCTTGCAGAATGGAGAGACACCTTCCAGCTGGCGAAGGGAGGGAGAAGTAAGGCTGCCCCTCCAAAGAAAATACATCGCAGGGCCCCAGTCACTGGTGGGTCCTTGGCTCCGGTCCAGCAGGGAACCAGGCCCCTGTCTGCCCTCCCTGCAAGGAGCCCCAGCTTCATCAGTAACAGAGCAAGTGCCAGCGCCTAGCACAGGGAACAATGGCCTCCATCCTTGCAGGCATCCTCCCACTAATCTCAACACTGGCTTCTGTTTATAAACAGATTTTTACTGCCAGTCTCAATGCCAGGTGGAGGACACTCTGCATTACTGTTTCCTACACAAAAAGACCTGACTGTGTCACAGATCTGAAGTGTCTCCATAGCAGCACGAGAGATGCAATATTTTTAAAGCAATCATGCTGTCCACAAAACGTTTTTTTGCAAAGCGGTAAGACTGTCTTACCAGACCCACAAACACAGTGGGGAAAAAGAATAGTAACTCATAAAAACACAAATACAGTATTATTGGTAGAAAACACGCTTTAACAAAGCTCCTAGATACAGTGTATACATACATACATACACACACACACACACACACACACACACACACAGGTAAATTTAGAAATTATAATTATGGGACTGGGGAGATCACTCAGTAAAGTGCTTATTGCAAACATGAAGACCTAAATTTGATTCCCAGCAGCCTTGTAAAAAGTCAGGTGTGCCTGGTGTGGTGGCACACACATTTAATCCCAGCACTGGAAAGCAGAGATAAAGGCAAGAAGATCTCTTGTGTGTTCTGTCTACATAGGGAGTTCCAGGAGAGCCAGTGATACATTGTGAAACCCTGTCTTTAAAAAAACGAAAAAAAAAAAACTTGGGTGTAGTAGTGCATGCCTGTACTCTAACACTATTGAGGTGGACACAGGACTCCTAGGGCTTGCTGACCAGCCAGTCTAGCCAAACTAGCAAGTTTCAGGTTCGGTCAGAGAGAGACCCTGTCTCTAAAAATAAGGTGGAGAGTGATTCAGGCAGAGACCTGAAGTTGACTTCTGGCCTCCATACACACGTACATACATATAGACCCACACACATACACAAACATGTATATACACACATGCACACAAATGAATACTTATGTATTTTTCATAATGTACATAAAAACAAGAAAAGACATACATGTAGAGCTTTATTATAATTTATTCTATCTGTTTTATGTAGGTAAGCAAGCATTTTACTTCCTTTGATAATAGTTGATTCGAGTTAAACTTTTGTCTAACTCCATAATCTGCTGCTTCATTAAATACATTTAAAATTATAGCTTAAATTTCTTCATGAAAAATACTAAGTTAACAAGAACAAATTCTTATTTGGGTATATGTTTTGTAAGAAAAAAATATAGTTTATGGTATGACTTACTTTCTTACAGTCATTTAACCAAAACCAAGAACTGATAATGGGTGAATATGGAAACATTTCAGTCTATGGAAAATGTTTTGATTTAATACTTTCAGGTGCTTAAAATAAAAATATTGGCATCATATCCTTAAAACATAAACTTCTACAAAGTCAAAATATGAAATGTAATTGGGTTAAATTACTAATTGAGTAATTAAAGCTTCATAGAGAATGGCCAACCTACCTTTTTAATTGTCTTTGTTTGGACTAAGGCCAATTCTTTATTCTCGTCCGCTACATACAACGAAAGCTTCACATACGGGTCACTGCAAGGAAGCATTATGGATTTAATACAGCTATACTTTTATGAAAATTAAGAGTAACAAAACCAAATAAAACAAAGAAACCAGCAAAACTGAATGAAAATGCAAATACCAGTTAATAAACTGCCCCTGCTCATATTTAAATCCATAAACTAAGCAACATTTAAACATGTCTAACAAAATCAGCATATTCTGGAAAATGCTCCTATTACCCAAAGCCAGAATTTTTAAATATATACACACACAGAGAGAAACCAACATTTTAACTTTAATGATGATCTTCCCCTTCATTAATTCAAAACAATTAAAGCTGTCATCACTTTTTCTGAACACAGATTTTTGAAATGATTACAAGAAAGATTATTAAGAGGTATAGAAAAATTGTTTTAATCTACTGAGAAAACAATCTGCATCTTATTCATATTCTTATTTATACTATGTGGGTCAAAATGAGTTTTCTTCTAGTAGAGAAAAAAAAAACAACCATTATACACCTAAACCAAGACAAGTAGAATGAATTAAAACAAAAACTCTAATATGAAAGTTTGAAGCCCAGAAATCAGATGATCACCTAAAGTTATAGACTTGAGAAAAGTCTAGATTACATTTCAAGTTTCCTGACTAAAAGTCCAAGAATTCCTTATATAAAACACAGTCTTTAATAATTATTTCTTTGAGACACTGGCATCTTCCAGCAAGGTACTGTTACTGAAAGGCTCATCTAACACTAGAGTTCCAGTCCACTCACACTCTTTCATTGCTAACCAATCAGCTCAAACTGTCACCTGTCCCTCTTTTTAAAAATTGGGGTGGGGGTAGCCAGATGGCTCAGCAGGCACAAGCATTTGCTATGTAAACCTGATGACCAGTTCAATCCCTGGAATCCACATAAAGTTGGAAGGAGAGAATCTAGTCCACAAAATTATCCTCTGACCTCCACACATACCCCTTCCCACATCAAATAACAAAATAAAAATTTAAAAATTGGTTGAGGGAACTTATGTTCACACAAGAAATCTTAAAAAGTACAAAGTTTCTCCTTTGGATTCACCCACTCATTTTCACTTGTCTAATTACCTATAGCTGATAATACAGTTCTGTTACTCCACGGTGCCAGTTTCAAGCCAATTTGAAACATATGCAGTTGGGCATGGTGGTGCACACCCAGAATCCCCAAATTTGGGAGGAGTTGAGGCCAGAAGATGGAGAGTTTGACTGCAGTCCGGGCTGCCTGAAACCTGTCTCAGACAGACTCCCCCTCCCCGCCCCCCGCAAAACACACACACAAAAGAGTCCTTCAGTGGCTAGTCCAACAAAAATTAACACTTATTTTGAAATATCCAGAGTATTTCCACAGATTACATAGAATACTTTAAAATGCTGAAAGTACACTAATTTGTTATCTTAATAAGTATATGTCATAAAATCCTTCACAAAAGGCTGTAGTAACAATACTATAATCAAGATCGATACACAAAAAAAACAGGGCTGTGGAGACACCTCAGTGGGAAAAGGGCTTGCGGTCCAAACATGAGAATCTGAGTTTGGAATCCAAGCACCCATGAAAAAGTTGGGTGTTGTGTACTTCTGTAACCCAAACACTAGAGGATAGAGACAGGTCAATCTTGGGAGCTCACTGGCCAGTCGGCCCAGTAAAAACAGTAAACTCTATTTCAAAGAGAAACTGTCTCAACAAAAAAAATAAGAGAAGTGATTAAGGAAGACACCAGATATGGACCTCTGGCCTCCACATGCCTGCATGGGCAAGTATATATGCACTTACAAGTACACACATTCATGCATGCATACTCAAACATATACACACACATATACAATCAAACAAAGGTCAGTAAAATCTTATTACACAGAAAAAAAAATATTAGTAAACCCTGCCTTTTGTCCATAAACTATAAGGTAAGGATAAACCAGAGGTAAGGATATCTAACCAGATGTATTCACTTCTTACCAGGACACAGCTTCAGAAAACAGCCAAGAGCTAGCACCCATCATACAACAGAGGGTGATTAACACAGAAAGCCACAACTGGCCAAAGTATAGAGAGTGAGAGTCTGCAGAGCACATATCCCTGGATAAGACTCCTATATTAAACCTCTGCCACCCAGAGCTTAGGGACTTTTGCAGAAGAGGGGACGGAAAGATTGTAAGAGCCAGGGGTAGTGCATGACCACTTTATAGTGATGATGACAGCATGCACAAGACCCATGCAAACTCAAACCATACAAAAACCCAACATAGAACTGGGGAAATGGGTGAGAAGCCCCAGCCTTAGCTGAAGAACTATTGGCAGCTGATCACTGCTGAGTGAGGGAGAATTGGTTTTCTTTAATGGAATGACCAGGCTTCAGGGGATAAATTCACACTGAGGGACATCTGGGGACACAAACTTGATTCGATAAGCTTTTAACATATATGACAGAATGCATGAAATCTGGTGGGGGCTATCAGGCGGTTGCAGATAGGGAAGGGGTCTAAATAAGACCATGATATAGTGTATGAAATGCATAAAAATGGGGCTGGAGAGATGGCTCAGTGGTTGAGAGCACTGACTGCTCTTGCAGAGGACCTGGGTTCGATTCCCAGAACCCACATGGCAGCTATGAACCATCCTTAACTCCAGTTCCAGGGGAATCTGAAGCCCTCTTCTGACCTCCATGGCATTGCACGACACAGGTGCACTCACATGCAGGCAATACACTCATACACGTAAAATAAAAATACTAAATAAAATATATTTTAAAAAAAGAAATGCATAAAAAATGTGTGTGTGTGTGTGTCTGTGTGTGTCTGTGTGTGTCTGTGTCTGTGTCTGTGTATGAAAAAAAGAGCTAGAACCAGTACATGCACAAGACCCCAGGACACCTTCCTCAGCCCTAGGGTCTAGAGTATGAGGCAACAAAGTCATCTTTCTGGCCAGTAGTGCTCAGGTCTTGGCCTATCAGAAGCTCTGAGGAGAGATGGTGGTTAAAATACAGATTGCTGGGTCCTGTGGCCTGAACTCAGACAGCCTGTGGAGAGAACCCAGAATTTGCATTTCTAGAAAAATCCCAGAGGCAGAGGCACCTCATCCAGGACCCAAGCTTAGAGAACCACTGTTGTAGATGGTACTTGAAAAAGAGTATTTTGCAGTCATAGAATCTATCGTCTGTCTATCTGTCTGTCCGTCTATCATCAACCAACCAATCAATCAATCAATCAATCAATCAATCAATCAATCAATCATCTAGCTAATACCTAGCTACCAAACTATTGCTTTAAAAGAAAAAATCTCAAGGCCTGACTATCTCTTCAGCCTCAAGAATAGGCTTCTTGTGCGCAGTGGACGTACGTGTAAACTCATACACACATAACACTACATTACACACCATACTATACATTCTACTATCACTCTAGTTTTTATGAACCTCAGCTATCATAATTGCTGGCTACTATGTAGATACAATAAAGAACTAAACCTCACCTTAATAGAACACCCACATTCTTCTCTAGTCATTTATTCACCTCAGTCAGTTTGTATGCCCTGGGTAACTTAGAATGAGTGACACAGGTGGCTGGGGGTTGTAGGTCGGGTCTCTGAAGATGGGACACTGTCTTCTAGGTTCAATGAAGGCATGCCTGAGCATGTACCTTCTGAGGTGCTCATCCCTGAGGGTACTAGGGTGTAACAGATCCTGTGAAATATTGATCAAGAGACTTCCTGGTGCATAACTGAGTCTTAAAAGAGAACTTTATAAAGGCCAAGGGGCCGGAGCCAAAGGTCAGTAGGGTGCAAGTTCAAGGGGGGAGGAAAAACAGTAAATAGTCTGGATGGCTCTTGCATGCCTCTCCCCTTTCCCTTAACTTCAAGCTATTTGTGAATGAGGTAGAGATGACAATCCTAACTCACAGGGTTACTTTAGATATCATGTAAGAATGATGTTGAGCTACTAATACCCAGCATAGTGCTTGCTAAACACAGTCTATGTGCCCCAGACACAATAGCCATTACACATGGTATTTCTCTTCTTCACTCTCTTAGGAGACATCTCAGGTTCTCTTCTTTTCATTCCCTATTTGTGCCAAGATTTCTGACTTGAGTTGACATTGATTTGCCACATAATTTGAGCTGGGTGTGCCAACCATGGCTAGCTAAGCATTCTGTGCTTCCTCCTTATACATACCCACAGGCATCTGAGTGAGATGCTCAAGCTGACCATTTTACAACAACCCTACTCCTGGTACCTAGTTCCTGCTCCAGTGGCTGATATTTAGTACAGCTCAGGGCTAACATTAATATGACTCTCTAAGAAACTCAAGCATTGCAGGCCCCTATGAACTGGAAGAGGAGTTACATTCCCCAAACCTTGTTTTGGGTATTCCTTTCTGTTTTTAGCCTTTCCTAGGAGCCAACAAATTAGTACAAGGATTCAAACTGACATCTATTTACTGTACCTAGTATATGCCAGATGAGGTAGAAGGCCTTCTACTTTGAACAAAGAGATGAAATATTGATTGTGATAAAGTGGGCTAAGAGCTCAAGAACACAAGAGGCAGCATCAAAAGTCCCTGGACTCATGCAAGTGGAATCACTTGGAATTTGGGAGCCGAGCCTCACCCTAGACTTGGGTGTCCTCACTAATTAACAGTCATACTTGTGCCCAGCTAGGCATTACTGCCAGACAGAGTGTGAGAGTATGTGGGAACTGAGAGGTAAGGGCCAAGACTAGGGTAAAGGGATTCTAGGCAGAAGGATCTGAGGCAAAGTACTAGTAATGGAGTTGAGTTGGGAGTTTGGACACTCAAAGGCCTGGTCTGGCTGCAGTCTGGAGGGCTCAAACCTTGGCTGGATGACTTTGAAAAACAGAACTTCTGTACCTCAGTCTTGCCATCTATATACTATAGATGACAGCAGTACTCTCTTTGTAAAGAAGCTATTGGGAAGACTGAGATAACAATGGTGCTCGCTATAGCTATAGGGCAACGGCTCAATGAATGTTATAGCCTCC